TTCTAACTTTCTTCTCATATCCCATTATTAAATATATTTAAATATGAATTAACTTTTTTTTTAAAAGATCTACAAAGTATTGCCATAGAACCTACAATGAATTTGCAAAGCTCTCACTACAGGTATGCTAAACAATTAATTGATTTTATTTTTTTTAGCTTTTTTTATGCTAAACAAGTATAAAAATAAATTTGAACATTTGGCTAAATATAGATTTAATAAATTAAGATGGTGCCCTTTCTAAGAAGAGTTAAAATTTTACGTTCCACTGTGTTGCCAATATATAAAATTAATGAATTTATTATCTAGTGAAGAAAGCTGAAACTATTGGGATAAAAGAAATTGAAATGAATCCCAAATTCAATATTTACTTGCTTTGTAACATCACAACTACATACTCATAGCATAGAAGATGAAGCTTTTTGAAGCTATTATCATAGTTGAACTTATTCTAGTTAAATTAGTTTATTCATTAATTTTAATTTTTAATTTATCCATTCAAATTATGATATGCTTATAGCAAGTTAAACCAAATTGTTATAGTTAGTTTTGTTTGTAAGGAACACTTTCTTTACTGGTTTGATTTCAGGTTATCATTGTCATTAAAAAAAACATATCATTTTGTAGGATTAATGAAGATATACATCAAAATTGAGTTTTCCTAGTAGACAATTTTGAGATTATTGTTACTAAAAGCTTAATATATTTTATGTTTTTTTATTGTTGAAAACATTTTTAATGACTGTTTATCATGATTATTTTATATTTTTTTTGTTGTTGACGACATTTATTTTTAATGACCGTTTATCATGATTATTTCAATATGTTGTGTTTTAATTGACTGTTTATTTAAGTGAACAGTTATTTCGATTAATTCGATTAATCACAAAAGTTCCGTCAATTAATTAGTTCTCTATTTTCTTGAACTTTGGTGCAGTTAAATATTAAAAATAGTTTGGTTAAACAATTATTTCGGTTAAGTTCGGTTAAACAATTAACCGAATTAGCCGAATGCTCACCCCTAATTTTGTTCATTAGACCTAATTTAACCCAATAAAATTCACTTTGATACGCACCGTTTACTTGATCCACTGGTTAAACGCGCCGTTTCTTCATCAAATGATCTCAGATTTCTCTCTCGGATAACCCCCTCTTTCGATCTCTCAGACTCGAGCTTCATCTAGGCATGGCCATATTCCGGGAACCAGAACCGTCGGTTCGAACCGGCCCGGAACCGTTGAGAATCGGAACTGAGCCGAACCGAAACTAGAACCAAAAAATTCGGTTCAGTTCCGGTTCCAGAAAATTAGGAACCAGAACCGGCGGTTCCAGAGAACCGGTCGGAACCGGACTGGAACCGCCCGTTCTCAGGCCGGTTAACCGGCGGTTCTAGCTGTTGTAACTGTCAGATCTGGTTTTTTTTTTCCGGCAGGTTCCAGAGAAACCGGTCGGAACCGACTGGAACCGCCCGTTTCTCAGGCCGGTTAACCGCGGTTTCTAGCTGTTGTAACTGTCAGATCTGGTGTTTTTTTTTTTTTTTTTTTTTAAAGTTTGTTGTGACAATCTCTTAATTACCCCTCCCAACAGCCATAAACGGCTACATAACGACTAGTTTCAAGGGTATTTTTTTGAAAAACTGAATTTTTGGATTTATTATAAATACCCTTCATTTTATTTTACAAATTTCATTACAAAAAAATCTCAACTCTCTCTACTTTACTCTCTCTACAAATACTACACTCTCTACTTACTCTCTCTACAATATTACTAATTACTACACTCTAACTTTTATTTATTATTTCATTTATTCTTCTCTACTCTACAATCTCTCCTTTATAAGTTATTATTCTCTCTAATTTTTTTTATTCAATTTTCAAATTTATCTTATTATTCATTATAATGGCAAGTGAAGTGGAGGAAACTCAAATTCGGGTAAGGGCAAGGGAAAAATTGGAGAATCATCTATCCCTACAAACGACATCTATGATATGATTCCCGACCAATGTAATTTTGAGGGTTTTCCAAATGAAAATTTGGATATTCCAACTCAAGAATCCGAATTTAATGAGCAATTTTAAGAAGATGAAGAGCAAGAGCAAGAGCTACGAGCAAAAATTGTTACAAGAGCAAGATAAAGTTCCGACATATTCTCCATTCATTTCACAAAAAAATTCAAAGGTGAGAAAATGTACGATATAATTTGCAATTATTGCAATTATTGTGGAAAATCTTATAAATTTTAAACAAAGCGGGGCGCGCTATGGATCATTTTTGGGAAGCATTTGGAGACAAAACATCCAAACAAAAATGTACGTATTCAATATTTTTGTGATTGTTTTGGAGTTGTCATTGGCAATTGCATTCTTATATGGTATATACATGTTCATTGAATTGATGATGATTGAAAATTCAAAAAAAGAATCTATTGGTTTCGTGTTTTTGATGATAACATACTGCAAATAATATTTTATAGAGTAATTGTTTTCCAATTTTAGATGGAATATAAGTTGGACAAAAAAAATTTTTTTTCAATTTCATTTGATAATTTCATTTGATAATGCTTCTGCTAACACTAAATCAATTATTGAACTTAAAAATATTTGTGAACCAAATATTGGTGAAAAATTTTTTCATATAAGATGTGTTTGACATATTTTAAATTTATGTTTCTAAGATGGTTTAAAAATTCTTGAATCTTATATTTCTCCAATTAGAAAAGCTATTTCATATTTATGGGGACATCACCAAGTGATGAAAAGTTGGGCCAAATTTTGTAAGGAAAATAATAAAAGACCAAAACGTTTTCTAAGAGATGTTCCAACTCGTTGGAATTCAACATATAAATTATTAAATGAGTCTTTTTCATACAAAGAATTATTGTGCATTTGTTACTAATAATATTGAAGAAATTAATTTATATCCACAAAATTGGGATATTTGTGCAAAAATTTTAGATATTTTAAAAATTTTTAATGATGCTACCTGATGCTACCTATAAATTTAGTGGGGTTTATTATCCCACATCTCATTTATTTTTACCTGTGTATTAATATTGTTAATGCACTCCAAGAATTTCAAAATGATGATTTATTAAAAGATTGTATTTTTTCAATGAAAAAAAAATGGTTATCTTATTTTAAAAATATAGCACCCCTTTATCTTGTTGCTATTATATTTGATCCTAGATGTAGAATGGATGTTTTATGTGATTATTTGACTATTTATTATGAAGTATTGAATCTTGATGTAGAAGATAATGTTAATATAAATGTAGTAGAAGATAATGTTAATATAAATGTAGTAATGCATGAAGTTAAACAAAATATTATGCAATTATATAATGAATTTGTTCAAGTTTCTAGTTCATCTACTTCTCATCTAATATTTCAAAACAATTTCCAACACAAAGGGGGTAAGTTGGTGTTTGGTGTTGCTCAATAAGTTTTTTATACAAAGACAAAAAGAATAAGGGAATTCAATTCTATTTATTCAGTTCTTTTTCTGAATTTGATAATTATCTAACCACTTCTTTTGAGTTTGGTGATGATTATGCAGATACTGATTTTCCAATTTTAGATTAGTAGAGTCCTCACGCAAATACTTTTCCAATTCTTTCTTTAATTGCAAAACAAGTTTTAACAGCTTCGGTCTCCACTGTTGCGGTTAAACAAGCTTTTTGTCAAGGAGGAAACATACTTGATGAAACATGATCTCGTATGACACCCGATTCGTTAGAAACACAATCATGCGTGGATGATCGAAGTAAGACCGAACTAAGAGCACAAGAAAATTTAAAAGAAAATGAAAATCTATATGATTTATACGATAGGTCCTCAACGGAACATCAACCGGTTGTGCAAATAGCGATTAAGGTAAAAGGGATGAAATTGGTATAAAGTAAGTAAAAACTACGTGGATTTTGATTCCTCTAAACCCCAAGAAGACACGTAGGCAACTTAATTTTTTTTTAAAAAAAAATTAAGTTAAGTTTACAAGCCCATTTTTTTTTAAAATTATGTTTCAAACTTTAAAAAAAAAATTAAATTCAGTTGAATTTTTTTTAAAATAATTATGTCAGTCTTTTAAAAAAATAAAATTTAATTGAAGTATTTTTAATTTTTTTAGGTGTATTTTAATAGGTGTATTTTTTAATTTTTTATGTTCAAATAATTTTTTTTTTAAACTGGTCTTCAAAATTTAAAATTTAAAATTATGTTATTCGTCGAAAAACCGATCAGAACCGTCGATTTTATAACCGGAACCGGAACCAAAACCGGAACCGGACGGTTCCAAACCGGAACCGGAACCGCCAGTTCCGGAACCGTGGCCATGCTTAGCTTCATCGGGTTACCGGTTCCTTAACAGCTTGTAAAATATACACAGATTAACAACAACAGCCATAGAGATAGGACTCGATCTGCTTTGTCAGCGCCGATAATCTCCGGCACCAAAAGGTACTTTCTAAACGTTTTCGATTAAGCTTATTCCAATTCTTAATTGCATATTTGCTTCTCACTGTAATCCTAATTTGGGTGCTCATAGTGCTACCCACTATCAATTTTTTTCACAAATTTTTTATCGATTTTTCGATTTGTTCTCAGCTCACTGTTTTCCTTCCTTGTGCTTTATTAGTTATATATTAATAAAAAAAGTAACAAAAACAATTACTAACCCAAAGTTAAACCCTCTCTCTCTCATAAAAGATTATCGAACTCTGGCGCCACTAATCCTTGTTTTTGATTGAGTTTGTTTTCCTGGAAAATTTCTGGTAAAACCCTAATTTTATCATTGTTTTATTTGAATTTTAATTGGTAAATGGGGGTGCGTAATACATAAGTGTTTAATAAAGTTTTAAAATATAATTTTTATATAATTTAAATATTTTTTAGTTAATTTACAATATTAGGATATTTTTCAGAAAAAATCGCAAAGCAAGTTATTTTTCAAAAGAGATTTAGTTTTTTTATTGGGAAATAAAAAAAAAAATCAACCATTAGATAAAGCAAACCCTTTAATCTCAACCTTTGTTTGAAGCCTCTATAAACCTGTTCTCTCACCATCCTTTCCCTCTTTCTCGAAAGTTGTCCTGTCTTCTCCCTTGTCTCGACCATTATAATCACCCGAATCATCGTAATAATTTGTTCTTTTTTTTTGGTAACAGTAACAATAATAACAAGTCCTTTGCCTCTACATAACCGCCATAATCATTTTCCTTTCACTCTGTCTTACTCTAAGAACCGCCAGTCACTACAGCTATCGCCACCTACTATCCCGTTGGAAAGAGCCTCCGGCGGTTACCTTAAATACATCAGTAAAGGTTTATACAATCACTTTTTGAATTTTTGAATTTATATGTTATCAAATTCTTCATCACTAGTTGCCGGCACTTACAATTTGTTTATTTACTAACATAGCAGATTTGGAAAAAGAAAAAAAGAAAAAATCATGTTCCAAAATTTTTTCACAGAGTATTTTTTTTTCAGTTTTTCCAATTTTATACTTTGCTTTAATTGCATACAGAGTGGAAAAATCAATTGATTTCTTGATTGAACTTATTTAGTTATTTATATTTTGACAATTAATGAGTGAAATTGTCTCTCTGCTACTGCAGTCTTTTAATTCTCAGTAGTTCAACTGTTCAAGTGTCTTTGGACTGGGCTTAGTTGTGTTTGGAGTAACAGGGCCTTACTTTTTGAATTAATCTTCTTGTTGTTTGGTTTGGTTCTTAACAGATTTGATTGGTTCTTTGGTTCTTACACTTGCATTCACCTAATCTGTGTCGAAGTATTTTTCTGATCTAGTGTTGGTATTACAAGTGGCAGCACTTCTGGATCAACAATAGAACCTGATTGTGTATATCTTCAAATTTTATTTGTTTCTATCAATTTCTTCTTCATTTGATTTCATCAGTATTAAAGAAACTCTAATACATCTGGTATGTCAAACTTTTGACATAATGTGAAATTTAGTAAATTTCGCTCTTATGAGAATGTCTACTTACCTTCAACTTCTCTTCTCTGTCTAGCCTAACATTTTGTATGTTTTAAATTTCATTGGCTGATGTTTTTTTAATTTTTTTAGTTGCTGGGTACTGTTCTGCTTGCTTCTGTCTACTGTAATACCTGTAAATTTCAGTTGTTGAAATCTGTTCAGCTGCTTCACTTTTTGCAAAGGCATCTTAGATTTAATGTATGGGCAAGGTAAAATGACACTTTTTCTACTAACATTTGCTATTCATTCTTTGATTTGGCTATATTATTATTGTTACTACAACCTGATGTTTTTATATATTTGTTTCAGTTTTCCATATAACTAGCCAGTTCTGAAGAGCAAACAAAATGAAAACAAAACGATTATTGTTACTACAACCTGATGTTTTTATATATTTGTTTCAGTTTTCCATATAACTAGCCAGTTCTGAAGAGCAAACAAAATGAAAACAAAACGAGGAGATGATAATATAGATGGTGAGGAGGGTGTCACAAAGCGGCAGAGAGTGCTTGAACAAGACTCTCCTTCTGTATCTCCTTCTCCACAAGTCATTGACAACCCTCTTGTGCCTTATAATGATGTGGATGATGAGGAAGAGGATGAAAGGAGGGGACGTGATAACTATGATAGAGCAGATGAACCTAAACAAGGTGTAGCAGGGAATGGCTATGATGGTCTAGATGATGACGAAGATGATGATGAACAATGGCCTGATCAAGAGAACCGGAGGAACCCAATTGAGCCTCGTGAAGACTGCCCTTACCTTGATACTGTGAATCGCCAGGTAAATTTCTTGTTTTATCTGCATTATATGTGCATTTTGGTTCTTGCAATGTTATGCAAATGCTCGGCTAGATTTTTTTTTTTTTTTTTTTTTTTGGTTTTTTTTTTTTTTTTTTTTTCTGGGCTTATTTAATACTTCTTTTCTTTTCTTTAATTTGCAGGTTTTGGATTTTGATTTTGAGAAATTTTGTTCTGTCTCTTTGTCGAACCTGAATGTATATGCCTGTTTGGTTTGTGGGAAATATTACCAAGGGAGAGGGAAAAAATCCCATGCATACACTCATAGCCTTGAAGCAGGACACCATGTCTACATCAATCTTCAGACAGAAAAAGTTTACTGCCTTCCTGATGGATATGAAATTATTGACCCATCACTAGATGATATACGACATGTTCTGAACCCGAGGTATTTTCTCTCTGTTTGTCTGTGTTTATTTGTCAACTCTTTCAATATGATGCTGTAAAATCTTTGTGTCATTTTGTCGTGGATTATAAGTTTTTGCTGACAGTGGTGTTGCCAAGTCAAAAAAGTGAGGACCAGTGTGAGCATTCCCCAAACCAAATCAAAAAAGGAAGAAAAAATAGACTCGTCTAAAAGGAGAAAAAATTAGTTTCAAATATTGTTTATACTTGATTTTCTTGTATTCTATGATGGCCTCTTCAAAAGTTCTCCAATTTCCAAATGTCACTGATGCTTGATTTTATGCCATTATTGCTTTGATATTGTGAATTATATATATTGAAATGATGCAGGATAAAAAGCTTAGAATTTTAGAATTTTTGGAATTTACTTTCACAGTACTGTAGAAGATCACTGTTCAGTTACTGTATTTAGAATAGTCAAGTCCTGTTCTAATAGGATTTACTATTTTGGAATTATTCTAGTGAAATTTACATGTTAATCCTTATTCTATTAGGATTTATGTTTAAAACCTTATTCTAGTCTGATTTTGTGCTATATGAAGGGTTGTATGTTCTGTCACTAGAAGATTCACCCCTTTTTGGTTGAATTATGATCTACAGTTTTCTCTTTCAACTATTGTCTTGTCAAACCTACAACCTATGGGGATAGTTTTATTTTTGCCACATCATTAATTTTGGGTGGAAATACATATACCACTTGTTCCTGGGACATGCTTGCTGTGTTACTTAAAGAAGAGGTGGGTCTTGTGTCTAATCTAGTTGTGCTTGATTCTTGGAAGTTTGGTCATTGATAATTTTACATGTTGGTTGTGCTTACTCCTCAAAGTTCAAACCCATAAATTTTATATTGAATCAATTGTATTATAATGTCTGAAAGAAGGCAATGCCACTCCCTGTCTATTGTCAGTTGCTTGTGCAAGCCATTTTAGGATGGAAATTCATGACTTTTGCCTGAATAGAATTGATTTAGTTGGGAGTAACGCACCATTATTTAGTTTATGCATGCTCTAATGTGTTTGCATAAAAAAATATGATTACATGCATAAATAGATTTAGGCCATGTTTAGTTGGGAGTAAGGAATGGAATAGGGAGTATAATTCTTATTCTAGTGTTTGGTATGCACCATGTGTTAGGATAATTGGATATCGGAGCTTAATTATAATAATCATTGTGTCAGATTGAAAGAATATTTTAGTTACTGGTTGTATTTGTAAGTTTTCTTTATTGCTTATGAACATTACAGCATGGCAGTGATAAAGAAATGGTAACATGTCCAGCTCTACCTGTCTGCGACATAGTGTGTATTTAGTCTTACATTCTTTTTGAATTTCATAGTAACTAGTAAAAATGGTAATTGGGTTCAGTAATATGTTTTATATCACATATTTGACATTTGGTTGGTAGAATTTTTATTTTACATTTACCTGTTATTTTGAAGAACTTTGAAGTATTCTATTGCCAATGTTTATAGGGTATTTCTTTGTGCAGGTTTACGAGGGATCAAGTTGAACAACTTGACAAAAACAGGCAATGGTCGAGAGCACTTGATGGGTCGGATTATCTTCCTGGAATGGTACTCACATCTGTTTTTACTTTTGACATTAATTCTGTTTCAGTATATAATCATTGCTGAATTATTGCCTATGTCAATCTTTGATAGTAGAATGTCATTTTTCACAGTTGAAGATTGACTCTTTTTCCTTGATTTTGGAAATCTTCAGGTGGGCCTGAATAACATTAAAGAGACTGATTTTGTCAACGTCACTATTCAGTCTCTAATGAGAGTTACACCCTTAAGGAATTTCTTCCTTATCCCGGAAAACTACCAGCATTGCAGATCTCCTCTTGTTCATCGTTTTGGAGAACTCACACGGAAAATATGGCATGCGAGGAACTTTAAAGGACAGGTTGGTTATTTGTAATACTAGTATTGGACTTCAGCTTTCTAGTTCATATTTCTAAATGGCTTTGTATTTACAGGTGAGCCCACATGAATTTCTCCAGGCAATTATGAAAGCCAGCAAAAAACAATTTCGTATAGGAAAACAGTCTGATCCTGTAGAGTTCATGGCATGGCTTCTTAATAAACTACATGCGGATCTCAGAACTTCAAAGAAAAATAACAGCATAATCTATGAGTGCTTTCAGGTTTCTCCTTGCTTTCAATCTTAGTAAAATTTATTTATTTTCTTACAAAAATTAGTTAATTACGTTGTTATTTGTGTCTATTATTTACTGCAGTCATGCTCATCTAAAACATTCTTTGCTTGATAGGGAGAGTTGGAGGTTGTGAAAGAGATTCCGAGCAACGCTGTTGCGGAGAAGAAAGAAAATGGTGATGACTATAGCAGCATTCAAAAAACTGCTGATGGTGGGACTGAGCACAATGGTGTTGTCACAGAAACTTCTAGAATGCCATTCTTGATGCTTGGGCTAGATTTGCCACCACCGCCTCTGTTTAAAGATGTGATGGAAAAGAATATTATACCTCAGGTACATTGTACATTCTGTATTAGGTTGAATATATATTTGATTTCTGTTCTCTTCTGTGTCCATGCATGATATCCATTGCTGTGGTAGCTAAGTTTATCAAACAAATCAGTTTGTTTGCTTGGAAATAATTCAACTGAAATATACTGTTTCATTGGTTAACCAGTTCAACCATCAAGTGGATGGCCTTCAATCATGCAAGATGTTATACAAAATAAAAAATAAATGATAAGAGGAGAAACATGTTTGCACTTCATATGTACTGTGTAGCACTACCCATCATTATGTGGTTGTCACTGCTGAATGTCTCTGGTTTGTCATATTGGTAAGCCTGAAACAAATGCAGGTTCCTGTTGGTCAATCTATGAAGATAGATGCTCTATCCTCTTTATGTGAAAAAGGGTTTCTGTAATCATAACAATTATTTAATATTTCTGCTACTGGAGAGAAAAGGGTGTACTGAGTTAATTTTTGAATTTGATATGATCATGTGGATTTTGTTTTCCACAATATGTTTTATGCTTTTCTTTTAATTTTTTGTGTTGATTAAGATAATTTGCTTGAAAATTTTATTATTTTAAGATTTAGAAAAATTTTTTTATTTTAAAATTTAGAACAATTTTAATTTTTGAAAAAAATATGACAATTTTCTCTAATATTTTAAATCATGTTAAATTGAATGCAAAATAGAAGTTGTGTTCTAGTCTAGCCCCAAAAGTTAATGATGGTCTTAATTGGACATTGGTCAAAGGTCAAATTGAGCTTTATATTTTTGTTATATTTGAATTCAATTTCTTATGAATGGCAATTCTAATTTGCTATTAACATAATGGCAACATGTCAAACAGGTGACCTTGTTTTAACTAGTAGCCTCTTAAGGCCACAGGCGCAGTCAGCATATCCTTATTTTGACATGGCGAGGCTCAGTATTCATGGGTAGTTTCTAGGAGCAACAATTTGTAATGATGTCATCATACTTTAATCAACATTATTTTGCACTTAGAATGTAGGAGTGTACTATAATAAATTGGCCATAAGCAGTCTTTAGAATAGAATTTTGCAAAAATTCTATTTAGGGAAGTTGTTGCTAGTTATTTTTTTATTAAATCTTTGTGTCCATTTCTTAGTACTGTGTTTTGACCTTTCACTTGTTCTGCTTGTGCTTTTCCTCCCCTTCCAAAGGATGAGGCAATTCATTTTACTGGTTGTCTCTTATTTTAGGTTCCTCTGTTCAATATATTGAAGAAATTTGATGGTGAGACAGTAACTGAAGTTGTGCGACCGCATCCAGCCCGGAAGAAATATCGAGTTACCAGATTGCCACGTTATTTAATACTCCACATGCAGCGGTTTAAAAAGAACAACTTTTTTATTGAGAAGAATCCAACCTTAGGTGAGCTTTATTTGAGATTTGCATTGTGGGATCCAGCGACAGTAACAATAAATAGTAATAATAATAACAATTGAGGAACTTGACTTTTGTTGAAAAAACTTTTTTCTTAATCTTAAATTTGCAGTCAACTTTCCTGTGAAGAACTTGGAACTGAAGGATTATATTCCTTTACCAATGCCTAAAGAGAATGAGAGATTGCGCTCTAAGTATGATCTAATTGCCAATATTGTTCATGATGGAAAGCCCAAGGAGGGGTTTTACAGAGTTTTTGTGCAGAGGAAGTCAGAAGAGCTATGGTAATCCTGTTCTTAATCATTTTGTTGAGATTTTCAATATAATTAATAACTATCAGGAGTGAAATTTTTTTTTCTATGTTTTCCAGGTATGAAATGCAGGATCTTCATGTTTCTGAAACTCTTCCTCAAATGGTTGCACTATCCGAGGCATATGTGCAGATATACGAGCAGCAGCAGTAGCTTTAGACAAAATCTAGTTGTTGATGAATGTTCATTACGACAGATTTTAACTTTTTTCCGATGGCCGGGAAGACAATGATATGCAGATATACTTGCGCTTTATCGAATGTTTTCTTTGGAAAAAAAAAAAAGAATATTATGATATTATTTCTTTTCATGGCTAGATACAAAAAGGGGTAGCTCTACCTGTTGTAACCCTCTCAACCCTATGCCCCGCGGGATTGGAATGTGAGACCTGTCGAGAGTTAGAACTTGTGCCATTTTTTACGTTCCCTTGGGATGAAGAATGTAGAATTTAGTGTTCCTGTAAAGGGATGGTAGATTTTTGTAGTGGAAAGTAGAACTGTTGTTTTTCTGTTTGGCACGAGTGAGAGCGTCCTTGATTGGAGTCTTAAATTTAATATATGGACAATCTTTCTTTTGGAATATGCAAGATACACTTGAAGCATGTCAATTGCTTGAATGAGATGAAAAAAATTTTACATGCAGATGCAAACGATTTAATTACTGCTTTTCAGAATTACTATTAGCTATGTTTGAATGGCCTCTTCGTCTATTTTGTTGGGAGGAATTGGGGTTTTGATGTGTTCGGTTGGTTCACTGAAAAGCTCTATTCAAATCTATGATGGTGGTGTATAAAAAAATAAATTAAATCAAATCAAATTAAAGAAGATACTTAAACTAACCAAACCTATGTATACAATTTGGTTCGGTTTATATGGAGGGAGTATTTATTTAATTCGGTTTATATGAGGGAGTATTTATTTAATTAAAGGGAAGGTTATGAGGTGAGATTATTCTCCGCTGAAAAATGGAAAAATTTTGGCGGTTTGGCCGGATATTTAAATTCACTTTTAAATTTTATTACTTAAAACACTCTCAATTTTAATTTTGATCAATTGAATATTTCAATTTATTTTATCGATTCTAAAAGTCATGCTAATTATATCTCAAGTCTATATTTTGGAGATACAATCTAAAAATTCTAAAAAAATATTAATATTAATATCAAAATATGTATAATGTTATCAAAAATTACAAGTTTTAGCGCATAATAGGTCATTTATAAAATTTATAGTATTACAAGATTAAAATTGTAAAATTTGGAAGTGAATTTATGTTTTAGCTTGGAAAATTTGTGCACGAAGAATCCACAACTTTCTATGCTTATAATGTCCCATGGAAGTTAAAAAATTCTATAAACGAAAGACTTTCATTTATTATGTTCTGTTAAAAAGGCTTTGCTCTGTCACATGGCAGCAAACAACTCCTCTATTCCTGCTTCGCGTTTGTTCTTGCTAGTGGCGGTGCTCGTGTTGAAGGAGGTAAGGAGTAATTTTCGGTTTTTACTTGAGAATCGAATCAAATTAACTTATTTTGTTCGGATTCAGATAGTTATTAAGAAATTGGATTATCGATTGATATATAAATCTGTTTGATTTTCAGTTTGATTATTATATATAATTAACTGAATTTATTTGGTTTGATTTGAAATAACTCAATCCAAATATATTTAATTCGATTTGTATTGATTATTATTCCATTTTGTTTTGAATTTAGATACTACAAAAACATATTCAGATAAACTAATCTAATTCGATTTGGTTAACTGAATGCACATCCTTAGAAAGAGGTGGTACGCCGTAGAGGGAGGAGATTGAAAATAAATTGCAATTTTTTTTCCTTTTATATAACTATCCAATATTTAAAATTGACTGGTTGGATTAATGAAATAGGTGTTTGCGTTAGTTGACCCACATAGGTAAACCTCCCTATTCAATTTTAACGAAGGGCAAAGATGAAAATTTCTTGTTAGACTTGTATAGATTCCATGTGTCATGTGTGCTGATATGGAGCTCATTTATGCAATGTCGGTCACTAATAGTGAAAAATGAATTTAATAATGATTTAATCATAAGCATTCAACATTTAATTATATTTTTTATGTTCTCCAAATTGAAAAACTTAAAGAATTAGACAAAAAAATACATTATTACTGTGAAAAAAAAAAACTTTTTAAATTTTAAAATAGTTTTTTTTTTTAATGCAACATATTAAGATTTCAATTCAATACTTCAAATCAATATAAATAATGTAGGAGGAGATAATCTCATAAAATAAAAATATTATAACTAAAATAATTATTATTGGTTAATTTAATAAAAAATTTTAATAAAAATTTAAAAATAAATTTAAAAAATTAATAAATTTTTAAAGTGGCCGGCTAAATAAATTTGCTAAATCTGTGGTAGATGACTTAATATTCAAAGAGTATTATTTCAGTGGAAAGGTGTTTTTATAAAAAATTGGAAAGGTGTTTTTGTAAATGAATTATTTACCTTATTATTATTATTATTATTTTTATCGATAAACTTATATTGATTGATAGAAAAACAAATTATATCTTTAATGAATCAAAAGACTATTTACACACGACAAAAAGCTGCTATATATGTCATTTACCATCATTCCGTAAAGGATAAAATGGACAATTCGAGTTCATTTGATTTTTGCTTTTGTTAAAGTATACATCGTCCATGGCTGTTTCTTTGCAAGTCTTGCTGCTGGTCGGCTAGCTAAGGAGAAGCTGAAGAAGATAGTGAGATGAAGGACAGTCGTATAAAGTTGTTTGATATGGAAAATTATCTGAAGGAGAACTTCAATATTCCGGCGAAGCATGCTTCCGATGAGGATTTGAAGAGATGGAGGTCTAAAGTAGGGATCGTTAAGAATCCACGCAGGAGGTTTCGCGGCCTTCGCAATCTTCAAGAGAGATCTCAAGCAAGAGAAAAACAGCTTCGAAATATTGAGGTATATCACTGTTAGTATTTGCTTTGGTTTCTTCTTTGGCATTTCTATTCAGTTTTTTATTGGTGTTTCTGTTAGTATTCTCTCAAGTGGTTAATTTCTTGTTAATTCCCAAGTTTAAGCAATTGTAAGAATGTAGCTCTTTTGCGGCTTCTCCTTCAGTTAGAATAACTGCCTGAGTAGCTGAGTAAAGCAACTTTTGTATGCATGTCAATATAGCTTTTTAGCTAAGATTGTGTTGATTGTGGCTTTTAAATGTATTTTGTGTTAGCTAATTATCAATTTGATTTGACAGGAGGCCTAATGGAATGGCTTATAATCTTGTAAAGAATGCACAAGTGAATCACTTGTTGTGTGTTCTCCTTCTTCTTCTTCTTCTTTTTCTGTTCTCCCTATTTTTTTTGACTTTTCATTTGTGGATGTTGCCAGGACAATATAAAAAATGTCTTTTACAATCAAGATGTGGCACTGTCTTTTACGAATGGTAAAATTTTCAGCTCCATCTGACTTTTATTAGATGGTTGGATTTCTTGCATACTTTTGATAGATTACAACTTAGTATCAGAAACTTCCACTTCACTTAGTACTTGTTGGAGTTGAAACATGACAAGTTAATTTCTGGGTATCTTTCAAATAGTTTGACAGCTAATAATTTATCATGTAACCAATAGAATGCCAGAAATGAAAAAAAGAATGTGTATACAGTTGAGAAAGTATAATCGATAATTTTTGTCACAGTTCTTTGTTTTGTTACAAATATACAGCAAAATAGAGTTTTACGCTTCTCAATTTTTGTATCAGCAGTTCATTTGCACCCGCTGAATGCATAATGAATTTTTAATAAGGACCAGTTTCAATGTATTTAGGAACTTTAAGGACTAAAATCTCGATCTCTAAATATGTAAAGCGAAAATCATATGGTAGTTTAAGATAATAAAATGCAATTCACAGGTTTGCTTCTCTTTCATTCTTCATCTTGTCCATTTGGTTATTGCAGATAACTGGGTATATACACCTCCAAGGGAAGTGGTACAAGCTGGCTTTGGGATTGACAGTGTCATACTTTCGTCTATGGTTTCTGCAGGAAAGATACAGGTCTTGCAGGAACTTGGTGGCATTGAAGGGGTTGCCAGGTTCCTTTCTGTCTCACTTGATAGGGGTATCAGCACTTTGGAAAGACCTCCCATCTCTGTCAGGCAAAAAATTTTTGGATCTAACCTGAATAAGGAGAAGCCACCTAGAAGTTTTTGGAAATTTTCTTGGGAAGTGCTGCAGGATAGAACTCTTATACTTCTCTTGTTCTGTGCTGTTGCATCTATGCTTCTTGGTGTTTCTTCTGAAGGTTGGCCAAATGGCATGCATGAAGGATGGGGTATTATATTCTGCACAATTTTGGTCATACTGATTACATCAATAACTAATTATAGACAACACTTGGTCTTCCGTAGATTAGTTGAAGAAAAGAAAAAGATTTCTGTTTTGGTCACCAGAGATGGTCGAAAACAAAAGCTGTCTATCTATGATTTGGTGGTTGGAGATGTTGTTCATTTGTCAGTTGGTGATCAAGTTCCTGCTGATGGTATTTATATATCAGGTAACAGCTTATTGATTGATGCATCATGCTTGTCAGGTGAGAGTTGCCCCGTTGATAAACATGAAGGGAAACCATTCCTTCTATCTGGGACCAAAGTACTAGACGGATCTTGCAAGATGCTGGTGGCATCCGTTGGTAAACAAACTATATTGGGAAGGTTGATGGAAACTCTTAATGAATGGGGAGAAGATGAGACGCCTTTACAGGTCAAGTTGAATTCTGTTGCTAGAGTTGTTGGGAATATAGGTTTGTTTTTTTCTTTGCTGGTTTTTCTGGTTCTCACACAAAGGTTTTTGCTGGAGAAGGCATCTCATAATGTGTTAATGGATTGGTCCTCTAAGGATGCGTCTAAGTTGCTGAACTACGTTGTGATTGCTGTTAGCATATTCATGGGTGCATTTCCAAAGGGCCTACCATTGGCAGTGATACTGAGTCGACTGTTTGCAATGAGAAGATTAAAGAATAGAAGTGCTTTAGTGAGGCATCCTTCTGCATGTGAGATAATGGGTTCTGTTTCTTGTATTTGCACGGATAAGACGGGAACATTGACAACCAGCAATATGACAGTGGATAAGCTGTGGATTTGTGATAGATTGATTGAAGGCGTAGAGACAAGTGCTTTGAGATCAGCCGTCTATAGGAGAGTTCTTGATGTTCTTTTGCAGATTATTTTTAAGAACACTTCTGCAGAAGTGGTAGAAATAGATGATGGGAAGACAATCCTAGGTTCTCCAATTGAGTCAGCATTACTAGAATATGGTTTGCTTTTAGACTCCGATTTTAATGCCCAATTATCTGAGAGTAATATTGTGAAGGTAGTGCCATTCCATCCTATGAGGAAAAAAATGTCTGTAGTTGTAGCTCTCCCAGCTGGCAATTTGCTAGTGCTCACTAAAGGGGCACCAGAAGTCATACTAGATTTGTGTGAAAAAGTCTTTGATTGCAATGGAGAACCCATTCCCCTTGCAGAAGCAAAGAGGCAGGTTATAATGGATATTGTAATTGCTTTATCACGTGAAGGTCTGAGCACTTTGTGCTTTGCTTCTAAAGAGATTCCTGGAACTTCAGATGAAAAGGAACTACCAACCAATGGCTACACTCTAGTGGCTGTGGTGGGAATTAAAAATCCAGTCCGACAAGGGGTCAAGAGGGCGTTTCAAGCTTGCTTGGATGCAGGCATATCAATATGTGTTATTACAGGTGACAATATGAATACAGCTGAAGCTGTAGCTAAAGAATGTGGCATACTAACAGATGATGGTCTTGCTATAGAAGGTTCTGACTTTCGCAATAAACGCATTGAGGAGAAATCACTGCCAAAAGTCCAGGTACCCAGCTATTTTGCGTTTGCTTTTTTCAGTTTAAGTAAAAATGGGATTAAGGAAAATCATGCAAATATGTATGTTTTTAAAAAGTGAAATTTACAGGTGATTGCACGTTCCTTCCCTTCTGACAAGTATGCTTTTGTGAGTTTGTTGAGACGCAAGTTTGGGGAAGTTATTGCAGTGACAGGTGATGGGACCAATGATGCTCCAGCTCTTCGTGAAGCTGACATTGGACTTGTTATGGGTATCACTGGGACTGAGGTTTTTGTCTTTATCTGGTGTATTCCTCTATTTTAGTGTCATCATGGAACCATCTTTTTCTGCTTGCTTTTTCTACAATCCTTGCAAAATCTTTGTAAATTTAGAAGTTACTCAAACACATTTTTCGACAGAGTAGGCATCAACCACATCTCCCATATACTATTGACCCACTGAATTTTCCTTGTTGATTGCTTGTTTACTTGGATGAAAGAAGAATGGAGATCCTTGATAATGGCCAAGTACATTGGGAGTGTGATTGATCTATCCTAATGGTTGTGCTGGTTATCCTTATCATTGATTATGAATTTAAACGACACAAATCTCATGTTTGTTATTGACTTATCTTTAGGTTTACTGCTTTCCTTAGTATGATCGCAATATACTTTTTCAACCATTTAATAGTTTAAGCTTTTAGATGAGTGGGTAGTTTGACATGACAGTAAAGCAGGAAAGCTTATGATGAAATCTCACTGCCACTCAGTTTAAATGCATCTGTTTGCTAACTCAACAACTCTTGCCAGTCATCTTTAACACTTGCTTGTGAATGTAATGTATCATTTAAGTTAACAGGCTGCCAATGGAAATGTCATATAATAAGGTATGACAATCTCGGTTTCACGTGTTCACAAATGATTGCATGAACTTTCTGCTGTCTGGCATGAGTTCTCTTTACCTCCCTTCAAGTTTAAAATTGATAGTGTGTTGATATGACAACCAGAAATGTTATCTGAATGTTATTCATTTGATTTATGGGAGTTGATTATCCTTGCGTTTTACTATGTGTGTTATATTTGTTTTATTTTCATACTTACTGTAGAATGAAATCTCCAATAAATCACCACTTCTACTCTGGAAGAGTTTAACCTTGTATAATATTTACAAGTTTGTAATATTTTCATGTAACTATTCTTTTATGAACTATCGTATTTGTTATTTATGAGGATGCTGCCAGAACATGAAATGCTCTAATTTAAAGGCCTTATTTGATGGTTCCTTGGTGCCCCTATCATGTTAAGATTTACGTTGTAATATATGAAAGTATTCTGTTATTCTAAAGTGAGATTTCTTGTCTCGTTACTGTGATACTAGCATGTCAACTTATCTATGAAAAGAAAAAAAGGAAAAAAAAAATATTCTCAATATTGAGGTTTTATTGCTGACTTAAAAAGGATCTTTTCTTTGTGGCAACCAGCTGGACTCTATTTATGGTTGTTCCATTTTGGATTGAGAAGTGTTCCTATTTACATTTCATTGTTTACAAGTCCTTAAGTTCAACAAAAGCAGACTTTTTTGTTTTTTTTTTTATCTACCTCCTTGCCCTTTGCTACATAACTCCAATCCTTCCCAAATCTGTCCAAAAAAAAAAAAAAAGGTTACCTTTGCCTACATTAACTCCAAATCCTTCCGCAAATCCTGTCCAAAAAAAAAAAAAAAAGGTTGCGTTGATGTGTTTCAAGTTGTCTGTTTTTACACTTGTGAATTTAAGGCGTGAGAATGTTTTCTGCTAGCTGCTTGCCAGACGATATACATCCTGAGGCCTTTGCACTTGTTAATTTTCAACTTCGTCAAATAACTATTGTTTGGTTCTGTATTTCTTTGTTTTTATTGATCCTTTCTCTCCTTTTTTTGTGTGACTTTGCAAGGTTGCCAAGGGAGAGTGTCCCTGATGCTAATGTATGCAAGGATGACGCACTTCACAAAAGCCATTGTCGTGATCCTCATCAAAACAAAAAAAAAAAAAAAGGTTGCGTGAGGTGTTCAGTTGTCTGTTTTTACACTTGTGAATTTAAGGGTGAGAATTTTTCTGCTGCTGCTTGCCAGACATATAATCCTGGGCTTTGCACTTGTTAATTTTCACTTTCAAATATATTTTTGGTTTGTATTCTTGTTTTATTGATCCTTTCTCTCCTTTTTTGACTTTGAAGGTTGCCAAGGAGAGTGCTGATGTAATTATGAAGGATGACGACTTCACAAGCATTGTGGATCTCATCAAAACTGGCCGAGCAGTTTATCTAAACATCCAAAAAGCCATACAATTCCTGTTAACAATCAATATAGTTGTGCTTATGCTCAGTTCTTTTTCTGCAATTATTTCATGTAAGACTTCCAATATTTCTTACCTTACAAACTTTTGTTTGTTACCCTACCAGTATTACATGCTCAGTTCATTTCCTACCCTACAAACCTCATCTTCAGACCTGTTGTTCTACCTCTGATGTTTCTACTTTTACCACTTTTCAGGGTCTGCTTTTATCACACCTTTCCAGCTACTTTGGGTGGATATGGTAGTTGGAATTCTTGGATCATTACTTTTAGCTGCAAATCCACCTAGTGATTCTATAATGCAGAGGGTGCCTTTTAGAAAGGATATGGATCTCATCACCCCTACTATGTGGATAAACACAATTGGTCAAAGTATTCATCAAATGGTTGTTCTATTAATCTTTAAAATAAATGGGAGAAGCCTATTGAATCTTACGGGTACAAAAGCTGATTCTGTCCTGGATACATTTATATTCAATACATTTGTGTTTTTCCAGGTAAGAGCGTGGGGTTTTACTCTAGTTTTTGCATTTTTCTATGATAATCAAAATTATATTTTTAGGTATGTCCATAGTGCTATGAAACACATGCAAAAAGGTCCCTTCTATAAACTCATTGTACTTATTGAAGAATAATCAATTGAGTCATAATTGGCCTGCAATTCACTCCACTATAGCATTTTCTACTTTTGCCTACCTAGTCTCAGGCACACCTTGCCTATATTGAAATCCAATCTTTTGAAAACTAGTTTGTTTGTATTGTTGCTTTACTTGTATTGCACACTTGAATAGGTTAGAGATATTCTTAAACTGCAAATTACAGAATTGTCTGAAGTGTACTATCATGGAACTGGGAACTAGATATCTAGGGATAATCTTAGCTAATAGCAATTTCAATTGATATGCTCCAACTCAACCCCATAATTTTTAATATGAAGGGCTTGTTACAAGTAGTCCACGTAGGTACATTGCAATAGTCCTACTAGACGATGGACCTATAGGGACTTCTTGACGCCATCTCCTATGTCTTGTCAAATGAATGATAAAGCCTATTTTGTGTTGGCATTAAAGTGTCTCGAATAAAAAGACAACTAACATGGTCATAACAGAATGTTTGAGTCTCGCATTGGTCAATGCAGGTTTGTGCACTGCAAGATATTCTAAACTGTATGTTTTTAAATTTTGTTTCTGGGTTGGAAGTCACATGATGTAAAATTACTGAGGAGAAATCCAGAAACCCTTCACTTTTAGTTGTTACCGAAGAAATCAAATGTTATTTCGAACTACTTTTAAGCAGATGATTCGGGCATAGTCATGAACCTACCTTTTTTCCTTACCCTCAATGAATAAAACTTAATGTGCTAATAGATAATTACTTAAAAACCTTCATAGCTTAATACTTAAAAAAATAAATATTTTTCTGAAATTCCTGGAACAACTTCTAAGAATGTGGAGAAGGACCAAATTGAAATGGTTCTGCCTATTCAAAAATAAGCATTATTGGCATCTGTAGTTATTGATTCTGCACCATCATTCCCATAACTGGTGTTGTTGGCCAGCAAAATATACACTTGTTAACTAACATAACCAGAGCGTTTGAATGTATTTTATTCTCTTGATCTTTTCTCCTCCCTTTCTATCTATAAATAATGCATATTGAATTTTCATTTTCTTTTGTTCTCCTTTGAATTTACATTGACAGGTATTCAATGCAATAAATAATCATGAGGTGCAAAAGCTGAATGTCTTTCGTGGTCTGTTCAATTGGCATTTCTTTGCTGTCATGGCGTTTATAGTTGTTTCCCAGGTCATAATAGTTGAATTATGGGGTTCATTCTCAAACACTGTACCTCTCTGCTGGGAGTTATGGGTGATCAGTGCATTGCTTGCATCTACAAGCATGATTCTTGCTGCAATGTTGAAGTTGATCAAGCACAATCATTTTATGATGATCACCAAATTTTATAGTCAGGCATTTCGCTATAAGCGTACTTCTAGATGCAATATCAAAGTTGACTGACCTGACCATTTTGACAAGAATGCTTGCCCAACTTATGGTCTCTTAGATTATTGGAAATGCTGAAGCGTAATAACTACGAACTAGCTCTTACAAAATCTCTCTGCTGCTCTCTTGTTAGCTTATGAAGGATGTGGTTGTTGCCAGCCTCCCATTTTGGCATGGATCAGGTCTGTTGATCTAATTCAGTGAGTATTCTCCTAAATTTACTCCTTTTTAGTTCATTTATTTAGTAGAATCAATTCTTTAAAGCTGCAAGAACAACTTTGAGAGATTCAAACCGGCATTCTGTCAGTGCAGAAACATTTATTGTGTGTTCTTTTTTCTTTTGTATATTTTGTATATATTCAAGTGAGGGTTTTTGTCAGAGTAAGAATAGCTATGTGTGTCTTGCTAGGATTTTGCTTTCTATTCTAGAGTTTGAGGTTGTGGCTGCAGCTGCTCTTTCAGTGTATAAATGTGGTTGTATGGTAATCTTGATTCATTTGCAGAGAGACTAATGTTCATTTTTTGTATGTAATTCTTGTAGAAACCAAAAACCGAAAACTGTGTCCAGATTAGGGGTGAGCAAACTGATCAGACTGAACCGAAAACCGTTCGGTTTAACAAAGAATTTCAGGTTCTCAGTCTAATCTAAGCACTCCAAACCGAAATTTTCTTTGGCTCAGCTTGGTTTTTGAAAAATTAAACGAAACTAAAAAAAAGCTGATTAAACCGATTTGAATCCAAAACTTTTACTTTAGGCAATAAATGATTGACAAATTGAAAGTTAAGTATTTAACTCCACACTAAAGCATTATTTTTATTTGAAAACAAACTGCTTTAGTTTTTATTTGAAAACAAACCAAAAAGATAAAAGAAAAGAAAATAACTAGGAAAAACCTACAGACTTACCTTCTAAACTTGGGAGTAATATACAATTTATTTGAAAATTATTATTTTTTTTTTAATTTACCCCTTGAACTTGCACTAAAAGAATGAAAAGCTTAATTTTTTGCCTAAAAAACTAAATATTTGATTTAAATCAAATGTAAATAAAAAATAATTAAATATTTGATTTAAATAAAATATAATTAGAAGATAATTAAATAAAAAATGATAATATTTTTCAAACTATTAATCAATAGAAGCAAATACTTTGCTAATTCTATTATTTCTTAAATTAATTTTTTTAATTATTTTTTAAATTAAAGACAAGACATTGTAATTTTTTAATAACTATCATTATATTTTAAATAATTTTTCTTTTTAAATTATTTTTATTGGTTAAAGATATTAAAATTTATTTTTGAAGAATTGAAATTTTTATTCTTTAAATAAAAATTAAGGGAATAAATTATATAAAAAAGTTTAAATTTTGAGTAAATTACAAATTGCATCCAGCAAGCATTGTAACGTCAAAAGAATATATATAAAACATGCAGATTTTCCCTGATATTGCTATGTAGGATTTCAAATTAATGACACATGTAATGTCTTAATTGGTTATCTTTATATTTATTTCAAAATAAATTAATTTATGATTATTTATTGATTGGATTAAATCGTTTTAAATATTCCATAAAAAAAAAAAAAAGAAATCGTCTTAAACATAATATATCTATAAGTTAATAATAAACAATAAAATACAAACCAGCCATGCTAATTAATAACCTTATCCATTATATCCTTTACACAAATAATATCTTTACTATATATCTATAAAATATATCATGGTATGTACTTATGGGTAATATAAAGAGAATCCTAACATACTTTCTGTAACTTTTGAAGACCATGATAATTTTTATTCTTTAAATAGAAAAACTTACAGGTCTGAAGTAAATTATATAAAAAAGTTTAACATTCTTGAGCCCACTCTCAGCTATGGATCCATGCGCATCCAGCAAGCATCTGTAAACGTCAAACAAGCACAGTATCAGATAACTCTCCAAACATCGCGCAGATTTTTCACTTCCAATCTTCACTCTTGCGCTCGATTACGCGGGTCGTTATCATATAGACATTAATGTAACAACACATGTAATGTCTCTAATTGAGTTAATATATAACCTTCCTCAGCTTATTCTATTTCCAAAAATAAACTTAAATTTATTGATTATTTATTGATTGGATTAAAATCGGTTTTCTAAAATATGTCCACATTGAGACAACAATCTAAAAAAAGAAAATCGATTCACCGATCGTCTAGACACAATAACCGAACGTAGATAGACTACTACCTAATATACTACTTATCTCCCACGTAGCCTCCTATGATATAGTTATCCGTATATATTATAATTATTATAATATCATACCTTAACTTATATTATAATACGTTTACTATATAACAATCAACCTATACTTAATAACTCCTGAATCAAAATACAATAATTTCAAAATGTATGAAATTAGTGCCACCTCCTATTCTTATTGACGCAATTCCGTGTTTTTTCTCTATAATCCTGAATAAAAAAATAATTCAAAAATGTTGAAATAGCACTCTATTCTTTGAGCATTCCTGTTTTTCTTTTTTTACAAATTTTTGAGTTTTTTTCCTTTTTATTATCATTTTTACAATTTGATTGGCCACTCGAATATTTTTTAAATTGAAAAATTAAGATTTTATGATATTAATCAATACTTTTGAAATCTGATCTTATCTATTTAAAACTATTTTTTCCTTTTTTATTTTCATTTTTATAATTTGATTGGTCATTAAAATATTTTTTAAATTTGAAAATTAACGTTTTCTTTGATATTAATCAATACTATTCAAATTTAATCTTATCTATCTAAAACTATTTAGTTATATATATTCTCCTTGGTTGAGTCTCAATTCTCAATATTTTTTTTTCTTCCACAATAGTTTCTTCTTATTTTTTTTTTGTTATTTCTTTCAATTCATTGGACGTATTCAATTGTTGGTTGACTTTTTTTTTCATATTTGCAAATAATTGTTATAACATCCAAATACTCCAAAGCTAGGTATGATGAAATCGCGAAGAATGATGATATTAGATTTATGAAGATATTCCAAGTAAGCCCATACAGAAAGTTTTATTCTATTACATAATTTTGAATTTTAAATTGCCGAATACTCATTTATCAATGTGATCAATTCATTTTAGTTTTGTGTAGTAATAACTTAGTTTGTATGTCTTTAATTTAACTTTGAATCAGATTGTAAAATAATATCTGCATAATGCGCAGACCTTCATCTAGTTGATTAATATAACGTGAGATAATGATAACATATTAAGTAACAATTAAGCCATCTTGAATTTTCAAAAAGAAAAAAAGTAATGATTTACATAAAGTCAATGATATGAATAATTATTATTTTATATTAATAAATTAAAAATTATTTTTTTATTAAATTATATTAAATATAATTGATTAATTATAATGTTAGAGAATTAACAACATATAAATTGATGGTTTATACAACCTTTAATTATTTGAAATAAAATTTTTTTGAAAGGAATAAAATAAATTATTTATTCATGAATTTTACAGGAGTTAATTATCTTTTGTATTAATTCTAAAATAAATCAAATTAATGAATTTTACCACCTTGCATTTTACTTTTTTTTTTTTTATTATCTTTATAAATTTCAACATTTTTAATCCATATTCCTGAACACATGTTTATCTATTAAGTTTTACTATAATAATTAAAAAATCACACCTATATTTTTTTACTATTTATATATCTTTATATTATAAACAAAATTTCATTAAAATACTAGTCAAAAGTCTTCTATCACATGCTTTTTCTTGAATCGAGCGAATTTCACACAGGATAAATTATCATCGTACTTTCAGGTGACTCTACACAGGAGTCTACCATTATCCTTTATCGTATTAATTCTAAACAAGTAATCAAATTATCTGAATTAATTTCATACCAACCCTTGCATTTTTACTTGTTTTTTTTCTTTTATTATCTTTATAAATTTCCAACATTTTTTAAGTTCCATATTGCCTGGCGCCGACAAACAATAAAGCCAAAACCAGAAACGCGTCGATAAAACGAAAATAAATAGACCCAGCAACCATCTACATAGCTTCTTCTACTCTCTGCACATTAAGTTTTACTATAATCAATAAAAAATCAACACCTATACTGTTTTTTACTACTCCTCCTATATATCTTTTATATTATAAACAAAGCAAATTCATTAAAGAATCGTATAGTATATATACTATATATCTATAATTATATATTCCTTTTCAACTCCTACTTTACCTGAGTTTTTTTTCTTTTTTTTTCAAACCCTTGTTTTTTTTTTTTTTCAACCTTGCACAGCAAGGAATTTACAGGGAAAAAAAGTTCAAAATACCCCTAAATTTGAGGTAAAAGTTCAATTTGTTTTCCTTCTCGCCTATGAAAAAAAAAAATCACAATTGAACATTATTAAATTAAAACATTCCCATATAAAAACAAAGAAAATAAATCAACAAACCATTAGGAAAAAAAATGCTTTCTTTTTCTTATTTCTTTAATTTAAGCAAACTAAAAAGAAAAAGGTAAAAAAAAAAAAGAAAAAAAAAAAAAAAAAAAAAAGACCATCCAAAAAACTATGGTTAAATACAAAATAAAATTAAAAGTAAATCTAATTTGGATCCAACAAAATCAAATTTTAAAATGGAGAGATAGAGTTACTTTCTTGTTAATGCAAGACAATCTAAAAAATAATTAGCCATGGTGGAAAATTTCAAGTATGATGGAATCAAAAGGGGGATTGACTGATCAAGGACAAAGGTAGAGACGATGATCGAGAGAAAGAGAGAGAAACAAGAAGTGAAAGACTGAGAGGACGACGGAGAAGTCTCCGGGCATTCTTTTCTTTTTTTTTTTTTTGAATACAAGTCACACACGCCTACCCTGCTAATGTAATTTCACGCGCGCTGACCAATAGGATATATGGACTTTTTGATCTTTTTTTATCAAATAATGGGCTATTTGGCCCAAAATTAAAAAAGGGGCAAATCAAACTTTGGGCCCAAGTTAAATGGTCATTTTGAGCCTTTTTCCCGATATTATAATACACGGTCTTTTCGTTCCACCTGTCTCCAACTGAGAGGCAATGTAAGTTCTTTAGCATTTTCATGCAATAAACAAAAAACGAAAGTTCTAAATGTCCAAAAAAAAAAAAAAAAAAAAAAGTTCTTTAGCATTTCCATTGCAAATAAACAAAAAAACCGAAAGTTCAAATGTCCAAAAAAAAAAATAAAAAAAAAAAAAAAAAAAAACGAAAGTTCTCAATTTCCATTATTTCCCAGCGATCCGTTGGTGATTGATGCTGTTTGGTGAAAGCAATAAGAATTGCGCATCAATTCACGATTAGAGAGTTTTGGATTGTCATTTGAAAATTAAAAAACTTGCAGACAGAGAGATAGAGGATTTGCAGCTATGGCAAGAATTGTTCTTAGTTGGGCAGTCTTTTCTTCTTGATAAACCTGACGAGGCTACTAGGTCATTGAAGCAACAAATTTTACTTTCCTTGGGAGTGGAAGATTGAAGTCAGACAACTAAAAGACGCCCGGCAGCTAAAGCTAAACTCATTCCTACCTCCAAAAGCTTCGAAGGCCAAATACAATCATCATCATCAAGCCTCTTTTAACCGGAAGAATAACATTAAGCCAGATCTGGGACTTAGGTCCATGAAGCAGAAGAGAAGGACGTTATTGATGCAGTACGTTGCTTTTTGATTTCCGAAAACAAGGCTACCCCAGTTTTGGGAATCGGGTCAAATCCAGAATATTATCAAGCTTAACTGTTCGACGACGTGTCCGCAGAGAGATCACAAACATCACATACACGATTCAATACTCTGGTTATGGGAAACAGGGGGACAAGTTCAGGAATTCAAAGAGCCAAACCCTTCTGAAGTTTTCAGCTTTGTGCTTGCTTGAAAAAAAAAAAAAAAAAAAAAAAAAAAAAAAACGAAAGTTCTCATCCATTTCCAGCGATCCGTTGGTGAAGCAAAAGAAATTGCGCATCAATCAGATAGGAGTTTGGATTGTCATTTGAAAATAAAAACTTGCAGACAGAGAGATTGCAGCTATGGCAGATGTTCTAGTTGGGTTTCTTCTTGATAACCTGACGAGGCTACTAAGTCATGAAGCAAATTTACTTCTTGGAGTGGAAGATGAAGTCAGGACACTAAAAGACGAGCTAAAGCTAACTCATTCCTACCTCAAAAGCTTCGAAGGCAAATACAATCATCATCATCAAGCTCTAACCGAAGAATACATAAGCCAGATCTGGGACTTAGTCCATGAAGCAGAAGACGTTATTGATGAGTACGTTGCTTTTGATTTCCGAAAACAAGGCTACAGTTTTTGGGAATCGGTCAAATCCAAATATTATCAACTAACTGTTCGACGACGTGTCGCAGAGAAGATCACAAACATCAATACACGATTCAATACTCTGTATGGAAACAGGGACAAGTTCAGGATTCAAGAGCCAAACCCTTCTGAAGTTTCAGCTTGTGCTGAAGCCTCGGATAGTAGAAAACGACTTCCAATTGAAGAAACTGATGTTGTTGGCTTTGATCTCGAAGCAAAAATGATAATAGAGCAGCTAACTAAAGGAAAAGCAGAACGAGATGTTATCCCTATTGTTGGCATGGGCGGCATCGGTAAGACCACTCTTGCTGCTAAAGTATATAATGATCCTATTGTTTTAAGTTGGTTTGATCATAAGGCTTGGGTCGTTGTGTCTAAAGATTATTCGGTTAGAGAGTTATTAGAGGCTGTTATAAAGTCTACTATGTTATTAACTGATGAAATGAAAAAAATGACTGATAAGGAGTTGGGTTTGGAGCTTCGTGGGTATTTGAGAGGCGCTAGAAGATATTTGATTGTTTTGGATGATGTTTGGGAAACTGAACTGTGGGAAAAAATACAACATTGCTTTCCTAATAATCTTAGGGGGAGTAGAATCATCCTTACAACTCGGAAAAAGGAAGTGGCTTTATCTGCAAATCCTAGCAATGACCCTCATTATCTTAAATTCTTGACGGATGAAGACAGTTGGAAGCTTTTGTGTTTAAAGGTATTTGGGAAACAAGAATGCCCAGATTTGAAGCTTGAGGATCCAGGAAAACAAATTGCCAAAGAGTGTGGAGGTTTGCCTTTGGCAATTGTGGTCATAGCTGGAGTTTTGCTAAAGAAAGAGAAGACAACTAGATGGTGGTTTAGGGTGTCATCAAGGGTGAGTAAATTTATCAATGAACACACTGAGAGGTGCTCGGAGATATTCTCTTGGAGCTATAAGGACTTGCCGCATCATTTAAGGCCATGCTTTCTCTATTTAGGTCTTTTCCCTGAAGATCATGAGATTTCTACCAAGCAACTTACATTGTTGTGGTTAGCAGAGGGGTTCATACCAGAAAAGGAACAAATGTCACCTGAGGATGTGGCGTATGACTGCTTGGAAGAGCTTGCTGATCGAAATTTGGTACAGGTTGCAACCCAAAAATTTGATGGGAGTATCAAGTCATGTCGCATTCATGACCTTTTGCGAGAATTCTGCATTTCTGAGGCCTTAAAGAGAAAATTTCTTGCAGTTTATAGGCATGATCATTCTTTATTGCCAGGGAACTCGCGAAGACTGGGGATTCACTCTAACCCACTGCAATGTATCGGTACTAATTGTGCTTCTTCAAACCTTCGGTCTCTTATTTGTTTTGAGCACAATGATGACAAACGACTTTCCTCAAAACATTGGAAATTGCTTTGCAAAGGGCATATGTTGCTAAGGGTTTTGGACTTGTGGGATGTATATGTTGATGATATCCCAAATGAAATCTATAAATTTATATGCCTGAGGTACTTGCGGTTGAAGAGTGACTCTGCCGTCACTTTGCCATTATCCGTATGCAATCTTTGGAACTTGGAGACTCTTGATGTCACTGCTCCATTGATTGAACGGCCTACCATAAATATTTGGAAGATGCGGCAGTTGAGACATTTCTACTTCAATGGAGAAGCTGTTCTTGCAGAGCCACCTAAGAAAATGATCAAGGAACAGGATTATCTGAACAATCTCCAGACTCTGTCAAGCATAAGTCCAGATAGCTGCACATGGAATGCACTCTCTTTAGTGCCAAATCTTGTCAAGTTGGGAATATATGGAGATATAGAGAAAAGCAAGAGTCTGGCTTTCAACAACCTTTCCAAGTTGCAACACCTTCAGAAGTTGAAGCTGATGAGGGATCGCCGGTACCAACCTGCCATAGACATTCCAAGTTCGATCGATTTTCCATCATCACTCATCAGGCTGACATTGTCACAAACACAGCTTATAGTTGATCCAATGGAGTTATTGGGGAAGCGGCTACCAAAACTCCAAGTTTTGAAGTTAAAAGATGGAGCATATAGTGGAGATATGTTGAATTGCACTCAAGGTGGTTTCCCCCGGTTGGAAGTTCTGAAATTAGTCAATCTGGGTGTGACCAACTGGAAAATCTCGCCAGGGTCCATGCCAAGCCTGATAAGAGTTGTGATAAACAGATGTTCAGGTCTCAAGGGTCTTCCATCTTCTATGCAACAAATGCCCACCTTGCAAGAGTTGCAGCTCTGGTATCCCAATGTTTTAGTAGCAGAATGTGCACGTAAGATAGAAACGTGCAAAGGCAAGGATCAATTCAAGCTTTTGATTAATCATGCTGAAAATGGAGATGATATGCACTAAAATGATAATCAAATTGCAGGCTTTCCCCTTCTTCAAAGGTGAGCAAAAGAGTTCTATATTTAATGGATCTTGAATCAGTCATTTTTCTTTACTTGAAATGATGAATTCAAAAAGAGCTTAAGAAAGAAAGAAAGAGCTTACACATATGCTTGCTTGGTAGTTGCTACAAGAAAAATCTGCTTATGAATTTCTGACCTGCAAACAGAAAACTCAAAAGAGTTCAAACTTGAACGATTGTCATCTTTATCTATTTCAGGCCGGCATTTTTACTTTTGTGTGGAATGAATAAATCAGTATATTTTCATAATTTGGCAACACAAACACTAGGTTCTCTTCTTCCTCTTTAAGCAACATGAATCTCTTCTTTTATTTATTTAGTTGTTTGTGCCTTGGTAGCTTACTAATTTTTTCATGTGTTGCACGATTGGCGTCTGGATCCAGGAGAAATTCTTGAATAGACTCATTCGATCATAATTGATCTTGGTAGATCGTGTCTATTTAAGAATTTCTTCCCCTCCAGTCTGGTTTTTGATCAATTTTTCTCAAGTGTCCTTTTGGATTTGGAATATGGATTATGGATACTTCCTAACAAATTAAAAATGATCTAATATTAGAGAGGCTTTCTCAAGTTGTTAGATTTCATGAAAATATTTGTACCAAAGTTGGGAGGGTAGTTAATGCATGCGATTATTTGATTCTTTTCTACTTCAGAACTTGGTATCTAATCTTGATGTGCAATTGCAGGCTGGTTCTTTATTTGAAAATGGAATAGTTTTCTGAATTTGGTTGATAAAGAGATCAATGTCAAGTGATGATCAAGTTTATTCAAATGCTATATTGGACTTGAATGTGTTATATGGTCACTGAACTCTTGAAATAATCAGTGGACAGGAGGACAATAATTCCCTTCTTGAGCTGGCTAGCTTATAGCTTTGGTGCATATGTCCTCCTTGAGCTGGCTAGCCTATAGCTTTGGTGCATATAATGTGGGGATGAACAGCCACACTTGCTAGGTCTTTATATGTATGTAAAATTCAGTATGCACCTTCAGACTTGGCCTAATTGTTAGTGCATATTTTAATTTTTGGAAAGATATTGATGTTCTAATCTCTTTCCTTCTATATATGAAAACAAGAAAAAAAAACGTTCAATACAGTGACTTGTTTGTTAGATAGCTGTGAATTTATTCCAATCATATGCTGGGATAGCAGAATGAGAATGCACTTTCTGTCAAGAACATTTCTCTTAGTTTTTCATAGTTTTGAAAAATAAAAAAGAGGAGAGAAGAATCAGCTGGATACAATCAATTTGGGTATAAATAATAATTGGGATATATAAGACTCCACATAATTGGTTCTACCACAGTAGATGAGAGAGCTGTGGGTCAAAAATAGTTCCTTTCATGAATTTTGTTCTTCCAAATCGCAAATACAAAGCTGCTCTTGTGAAAACTTTTGCCAGACAAGTTTGCCTTAGATGAATAAACGAAATCTGGACCAATATATAGGAAACATAAGTTCTGTCCTTACTCTACATTCCTTGTCCTTGATTTCCCAAATTATAGTTCTCTTTGAACGAGTGGTTTCAATTAAACATAAACTTCCATTAATTTCCACCAACTCCAGTAAAGCTATTCTCATCTGACTAGGCAACAATGTTTCTGTAAACTTGTTTTCTGATAAATCATAAGAGATTATTTCACCTGAACTTGATTTTCTGTTTTAACTACCACGTCAATTGCTCCATTCAGGAATAAGATTGACATGTAAGATAACCCATCGTAGCCTTTGCGGGGATCAATTGTTTTCCAAGAATTAGTTCTAAGTTTCAATATTCGCAAGGTGAAATCTTCTTCTTCAGATGTGATTTCTCTTGGCAGGAAAGAAATTCTCAGCAGTTTGTAATCATCAGCAGAGGAATCATATCCAATACAATGTCTCCATTTGGTCCAACCAGAATCGACAGGCGGGTTCGGAATCACTCTGGTTTCTCTGCTAGATGGATTCCAAAGAATTATTTTGTCACTTAAATCAGATGATAAATCAAGTAAAACCAACCCATCACAAGATCCTTCGACGCTCACCTTGAAATTTCTTAACTTTAATTTTTCTTCTATCATGAGTGATGTTGCATTATGAGAAGAATTTTCAGGCTTTGACAATAGTGGTTCCAAGTCTATGGAGTAAAAAAGAAGAGAGAGGATTTTCCGCTTGAAGGAGAATTTTGTGGCGCTTTTGGTTGAGGATTAACTGGATGAAACGATGATCTGAAATCATAGGTTGCATTGTTTGGATACAGACTTGAATCGCAGCAGAGACTTAACAGGTAATTACAAGAGTATCCCTTCAATAAATTTCAGTGGGAAAAAAAGTAATTTGGTAGTTGCAGCTTTTCCATATAATTTGAAATGGAAAATTGTCTTTTGAGCAGAAGAATGGATCTACGGTTCATTGCTTAAATATATATGATTTCTGCAGTAAAAGGAGTAGGATTGGGATTAGGAAATGAAACCCTAATGAAGTTGGATTTCTTTTCCCGAACAAACATTAGTTAATTTATTCAACAAATACCATATTTATTGTTTTAGTTAGTTGTCAATAAAAAAAGGTTTTTTGTAATAAAATATTATTGTTTTGTTTTTCTACAGTGCCAGAATAGTCATGTTTAAACACTGTTTGTAATTATTTTTGTATATATATATTAACACGGTAATTACAAGGAGTATCCCTTCAATAAAATTTCAGGTGGAGGGAAAAAAAAAGTAATTGGTAGTTGCAGCTTTTGCCAATAATTTAGAAATGGGAAAAATTCGTCTTTGAGCAAGAAAGAATTGGTATCTACCGCGTTCATTGCTTAAAATATATATCATTTTCCTGCAGTAAAAGCGTTCTTTTTTTTCAAGTAATAAAAGGAGTAGGATTTGGGAATTTAGGAAAATGAAACCCTAATTTGAAGTTTGGGATTTCTTTTCCCGAAACAAACATTAGTTAATTTATATTCAAAACAAAATACATATTTATTTGTTTAGTTTTAGTTGTTCCAATTTAAAAAAGGTTCTTTTGTAATAAAAAAATATTATTGTTTTTGTTTTTTCTTACAGTTGCCAGAATAGTCATGTTTAAAACACTGTTTTTTTTGTAATTATTTTTTGTATATAGTATTATATTATATATATATATAAGTAAAAATCTTCTTTTTATTTTTTTTATTTTTCTCATATTTATATATATCACTTGAGATAATTATTATTTATATAAGTAAATTTTTTTATTTTTTTTTATTTTCTCGATATTTTATATATCACTTGAGATATATATTTTAAAATACATAAAATAAAATAGAATATTTATAATATTAAAATAAAAATAAAAAACAATATCAATATATCAATTCAATAAAAATAACAAAAAACATGTTAATTGTGATTCTGAGTTCAATTATGCTGTTTCCAAAGCAAGGAAGGCATGGAGAACCGAGAACAAAGTCAGGAGTGATCAAACAAAATCTCAGTGTTAGATAATGAGATTTTGCTAGAAACTCTCAAGTCTTGTCTATAAATATTTAGTTAATAAATTTGATGATCTAATCTATTTTCCTTCTATATGTGAAAACCTTAAAAAAAAAAAAAAAAGAAAGTTCAATTCAGTGACTTGTTTGTTAGATCTATGCTGTGAATTTATTCCAATCATAAGCTGGGATAGCAGAATGGAGAATACACTCTCTTTCAAGAACATTTCCAAACCTCATCGAGTCCCAAAAATCTGCTCTTCAAGAAAGTTTCCAATGGAGGTATTGGTGTAGCTACTGCCCAACCTCCATATGGGTTATTGTCAAAGAACAAAATTTTGTGAGGCAGTAGGACATCCCATTAGAAAAATTTTCATGGCAATAAAATTTGTTCCTAGAGTAAAACCCAGCTCAGAACATAAAAAAAGTTACCATCCAAAAGAGAAATTACAAATCAAGCTCAAAAAAAGATACAAACATAAGTTCAACACAATGGGATTATAACTATTACATGCATCATTCAACTCAGAACATAACAAGTACACAACATATTCAGTTTCTCTGTAACAACATAATATATTACAATTATTATTATTGATTTTCCATTTTATTATTAATTTCGCCTCCAGATACAAGTCCCAGGCTTGTCTGTAGAAGAGGGAAAATTGACTATTTGATAACAGCCACTCACCTCTGCATAGCATAGTAAAGGCATTTCCTTTCTCAAATTGTTCCAGTCCATCTTTAAGTATGGCAACAGCCTCAACCGCAAACCTTCCAAATTCCAACTACTATTACTGTCATTTGCACAGATTTGAACCAAGTGTGCTTCTTCTATGCAAAGATAAGCTAAATTAGGGAAATTCTCAGGTCTAAACCATCTAGGCATGGTTTCATGATAGTAACCCCTTAGATACAACTCCTTTAGTCCTTCCGGAGGTGAAATATGATCTAACATTTCAACAATTCTCTCCCACTCCTGTATTTCACTGTCAAAATCAATGGCTAGAACTTCCAGTTTCTTCAGTTTTGACAGGACATCCCGTTCCTTTTCTGTTATTTCACTGTCGTAGCTCAAGTTCAATTGCAGTACTCTTAACTCGACTAGTTCTTCAATCTCAACAAGTTGACAACTGCTCTTGTTTGCTTGAGGTGCGAGTCTGAGTCCTGATAGTTGTTCAAGTTGCACAAGCCTCCCTATTCCACGAGGTAGGTATCGAAGCTTATCACAATAGCTCAAGTCCAAAACTAGTAATCTTTTTAGTTGGGTAACTAAAGGGCTTATTTTGTAAAGTTCAGGACATCCAGTTAAAACTAAGAGCTGCAGATTCCGGAGTTTGCATATAGTATCTGGTATTTCTTGGAGCCCCTTCGCTCCGCTTATATTTAGATATGCAAGGCGTTTGAGTGAAGTAATCCAAGTCAAAAGATTCTTCAAAGCAGCATTGTCTAGCTTATTGTTAGACACGTCCAATGCCCTAAGAGAAAGAAGTGAACCCAACCCGTGGTTCAATGGAGCTTTATCACTAGTCATTACAAACAATGCCCTCAAGTTTGGACTTTTGTTCAATGAGTTTCCATTCTTTTCACCTGCAACACCTAACCATCGTGTCTCCTTATCCAATTTTTGCTTGCCTTCTATGTCGAAACAGCAAACTTTCTCTTCATTTGCCATCATAAGAGTCAAGTCTCGCACAAGATCATGCATTTTGCAGATATAGACTCTTCCATCAAATCCTCGCCTTTTCACAACTTCAACAAGGCATCTACTGATAAGTTGAGATAAATGCTCAAAACCCAACTCTATTACGGTTTTCGACTTATTGGCACCCAAGATAAAACCCTCTCCAATCCACCAATATACTAGCTCTTTAGCTGGTATTTCAAAATCTTCTGGATAAATGGAGAAAGATAGCAGACATTGCTTTAGATGAGTTGGAAGTGCTTCATAGCTAAGTCGCAGAGAAGTCATTACGGCAACATTTTCTTGTGGGATGTTGGATATAGAAAAATTATCACAAATACTCTCCCACTCATCAAGAGAACCCAATTTCGATGCAAGCAAAGCTCCTATTGTCTTGATCGCCAATGGATGACCATCACATTGAGCCACAATTTTCTTTCCAACTTGTTCAAAATTTTCAATCATACTCTTATCCTCCCCCATACCAACAAATGCATGCTTTGAAAACAACAACCAGCTCTCACTTTCATTAAGAACATTAGGCTGATGAATGTTGTCAACTTGAATAGCATGTGCCACATCTATGTTTCTTGTAGTGATAATAAATCTACTACCTGCACAATCATTTTCTGGTAGTGCAGAGAAAAAACCCATCCAGAATTTTAGACCTGTCTCCCATAAGTCGTCCAAAATAATGAGACACGTGTTTCTTCTCAGCAGTAAAATAATTTTCTGCAACATTTGATTAATATCTTCTAATTGTTGATCTACAAGTTCAGCTCCTAATTGCTGCAAGATGCTTCTCAAGATCTTCTCCCCGCTAAAACTTTGAGAAATGGACACCCAGATCCTCTTTTCGAAATGTTTATATACAAAACTATCATTAAAAATTTTCATGGCAAGTGTAGTTTTACCCAGTCCTCCCATCCCAACAATCCCAACCTTCTGAAGCTTAGAATTTGGAGCAAAAATCCAATCTTTAATTTTTTTGACATCACTTTCAAGTCCAATTGTATCATTATGGTCATCATCAGATACAGATATTGGATTTTGGATATTCATCTGCTGCTCTATGTAGTCTTCTTCTGCACTTGGACCTTCTACTCGTTTTTTCAAATGCTTGCCAAAAGTATTGTCGAACTCCTTCAGTCTTGCATTAATATCTTGTAATTTCTTGCCTGTTTGAAGGCGAAAGAGAAATTTATTGGGACGAAATAAATTGGAGAGGTGGCCATTTTTAGAATGTTGTTGTGCAACTAAGCAGTCTGTCAGCAAATCATCTGCTTCGTACATTAAATCTCTGAATTGAGTAAAGATTTCTTGGAAGCTTTGTTCATTGCGGCCATCAACGTCACCAAGTACGGATTCTATATTACGAAGCCTCCCCTTCATGACTTGAAACTCGTTTTCAAAGTCAGATTGGTAATTCTGACGCTGAGCTTTAAGGACTGTGGAAAGTTTTTGTATCAGAGTTGAAATCATGGCATCTACTAGAGCCATAATGTCCGTCTTCGTCTGCAGTTCACCTGTAAAAGAAATTCATTATTAAGATTTTCTTTCTACTGTAATTTATTATCATAGCTACAATCAACCATCTCTTGGACTAGAAAGAGGTATTTGCAATTCATTCACATATTTTATTTTAGAAACTATGATTCCTGCTGTCGCCATTGGATTTCATAACAAATAGTCTATACGGCAAAATTAACAATTTTAATAGTAGTTAGCTGTTTTAGTAACGTTTATCTATTATCTATTTTAGTAGCTCTAAACTTTACATGAATTTTACTTCACTAACTTTTAAAAACTAATTCAAACGTTACGTTGCCGAACAATACACAAAATATTATTTAGCTGCAATCATGTATAAAGTAGGTTTACACTGCTCGAAAGATATAGCCACAATTTACGTATTCCTTACAAATAACAACCAACGATTTATTTTGGACAGTTTGAGCAGTTTGGACAGTTTGTGGAAAATGAGAGCACATTTCAAAGTGCATGAAATTTAAACCTTAACAAAATTTATCACCACCGAATACTTATGATATGTTAGCTGAACTAAGCTATCATTTAAGATTTTGAGCTATCATTAACAAAATTTAAACCTTAACCAAAAAAAAAAAAAAAAATTCCACCGTGATTCTGAGCTATCATTTAAGATTTTTATATGGTAATTAATATTATAAAAAAAAAAAATTTTAATGGAACTAAACTATTCTTTGTCTCTAAGAAGAAAAAAGTTGATATTACTTACAATATATATAATTATAATTGAAGAGAAGGGGAAAATGAATATTACCTGCAAGCAAAGAATATATGAAGAGGTGATGAGCAACAAGCCAAAAAATCCAGCTGAAGAGAAATTTGACTCTATGAATGGAGAGTAGAATTGAAATGAAGTGGATATCATATACAATGATTGCTCCTTCTTTATTGCTCATTGGCTGATGCCTATCAATTATTGTTAATGGTACTTTGTGCCAAGCTGCTTCCCACAATATATAGTTTCCTTTTTCTTTTTTTCTTTTTCCCTCCTTTTGCTTTTCTTTCAATGAATTAAATTTGCAAAAAAAAAAAAAAAAAAATAGTTTCCTTTTCTTTTTTCTTTTCCCTCCTTGCTTTCTTTCAATGAATTAAATTTGACCCAAAAAAAAAAAAAAAAAAAAATAAAAAAAAAAAAAAAAAAAAATCTAAATTATTAATTTTGAATAGTTTTTTTTAAAAATGATTTAATTCGTCTTAAAATTTAAAAAATGGTTTTAAAACAATTAATTTGATTTAGTTTCTATTTGTTTATAATCAAATTAAACTATGTTATATAAGGTTTTATCTTATATATTTTGTTATTTAAACTATTTAATTTTAAATTTGTTAAAAAATTACAATGGTGGCAAGTTTATTTTTAATAGTTAATAATTTTTTTATCAATGAAAAAATTTTTAAACAATGCAACAATAAATTTACACTTTTTTTATTAATTGATGCATAAGTATGTTTCACTGCACCATACTGTAAATTCAACCGGATCAAACTGTTAAATTATAAGTTAATTTGATTTTGTTTGAAAAATTTTAAAGCTGTAAATAATTTTTGATTTGATTGAAAATTTTTTTTTCATCCGTGTCAAATCAGAAAATATTCAATTCTAACTTTTTATTTGTAAAGGAAGTTTTTTTTTCAAGAAAATAAAAATATTTTTCTTTATTTAAAAAGAAGGAATATATATTCTAGAGTGACCATGTATAAAAAGAAGGAATATATGTTCTATTTTTTTTCTCTTCCTGAACCCATAAAGTTATAATCTCATCAAATTAGAGAAAATAATTAGTTAATGAATTAAAAATATATTTCATTATTTTTCTTTTTTCATTATTTTCTTTCGTCTCTTTCCAAATAAAGCCTAATTAAAGGAGATTACACAGATGCAAATAATTAATAATTATTTTATTAATAATTATAGCAATTATTTTAAATAGAATTAAGTATAAATTATTTATATCAACTCCAAGTCCTTGTCAAATCTATTCTTGTATTCTTTTTCTTTTTCTTCTACGTATTTTTCTGAATCCCAATACTCAAATTATTAAATTATTATCCACTTTCTTTACTTTTTTGCCGTCAGTTGTTTGTTACTTTATAATTAATTCATTGTCCCAATAAAATAATTGGGATTGCATTGTCAGAGACAACTGATAAGACAAATTTCATATTTTAGGATGGTATTTTAAATTTCAAAATTACAACAATTTAAATCATCAAAATTCATAAATAAAAATAAAGTTACTTTTTATTTTTGATTAATAAAAATTAAAACAAAATAACTAAAATTGTTGTCGGAATGAATATTTATATTTATTTGATTTTTCAAATAAAAATATTGTTTTATTGTTTTAAAAATTAGATCAAACCTCAAGATAGTAATTAACCTTAACTCAAACTTTCAAAAAAAAGAGAAAAACTTAGCTCTTATCATGAAAATTATTTACAGTTTTAAAATTTAAGGGTTCATGAAACAGGTACATACTTTTTAATTAAGAAGAAAGGTCGAAAAAGAAGAGACAAAGGAAAAATAAACTATAAGAATGGAAGTTCTTTTAATAAATTGGAAGTTGAGTTTTTTAATATAATATATTAGATTTTCATTAAAAACTTCAAATTACTATAAATAATAGAGGGAGGATATGACCCCTAATAATAGAGGGAGGATATGACCCCTCTCTTAAAGATCAGACATAGAATAAAACTATTACAACTAAAATAATTATTATTATTCGCTGATCTAATAAGAAATCTTAATAAAAATTGTAAGGTGAATTTGAAAAAATTAATAGACCTTCAAGCTGACTGGCTAGACAAACTTCCTGATAAGTTGTTTGGATGAAGGTAAAAAATTAATAGATCTTCAAAGTGAACCGTAACCTTGTAAGCTGGCCTCACTGTGTAATTACCTTTAGAGGACCAATGCCAAATTAAAACATCAGGTACACTATGCCTTAGCAATGGAATCTGTCGAACCAAAGTACCCCCTACAGGTAGAAACAACGTGCAAATCAGCTCCTCATCCCAACGATGTCCATCAACTATCAGGTCTTTTACAAGAAAATTTTCATATCCATTCACAACGAAGAAGTGACTCAAAAAGAATCAGCATTGTCTAACAAAGGAGAATCCCATACACTGATAGAACAACCATCACCACCCACCACCAAGCTTCAGCATTAATAAGATCCTAAGAAGCAAGCAAACCCCTCCAAACATAACTTGGATTATGCCCTAAGATGGCACGTTGGAAAACCCCCTTTGGGTAATATTTAGATTTTAAAACTTGAGACAACAGAGATCGCAGTTTAGAGATAAGACACGATGCTTGCTTGCCCAAGAGTGCTAAATTAACGATTGGAAGGTGACAGAAGCAAAGTCTGCCATTCTCCTTACTCATACACATACGATCCCAAGACAGCCAATGCACCCCCCACTTATTTCTAGTTTATGGGTTGTTTCATTCATCAAATCAATAAAAAAAAATTATTATTTTATTTTTTTTAGTATATTGTCAAAAATACTCTTATTTGATTAAAAGTTGTTTATAATTGTTTGGCATATAATTAATGCCCATACATCAGATGTAAATAAATCTTTCATTTTATTTTACTTTTAAAAAATTTTAAAGTGATTACAACACTAAAGACAAGTGGAAAGTAAATATATATATTTTTTATCTTCTATGGGAATCAAATCAACTTCCAACCTCTCTCGCTTTTCTCTTTAGAGCTTTCTTCCCTCCTCTCCATTGAAACACAAAAATTAAATATGCAAATGTGGAAAGAGGCTGATTCTCGTCTCTTGTGACAGTCCCTTTCTCTTATTTCTAGTTTTATTGTAAATTTTATATTTTTTATTAAATAAATTACAGATCTATATTTATTTGGATAAATCTATATTATTTATGTTTCTGCTAATTTTTGTAATTTATCTTCATCTTGTGTGGAGTATGACCTTTCCATTTTATGTGAAGTTTTTTGTATTTGTTTTGTTTTATTTGAACATATGTGCAATTTTTGGAGAATTTACATGATGATCTTTGTTTTTTTAGAGTCTGGAAGTGCTATATGTTTCTCTATTGAATTCAATGTTCAAATCCTCCGTATTGATCATAAGTAATTAGTTCATGGATAATTAGATCATTTATATAAGATTCATGCTATGTTTTGGAAGAGGAAAGAAGTAAAATAAGAGTGTAAAATTTTACTATTCATTTTTCTCTTAAAAGGAGTGAAAGTAGAGAGAAAGAGTGTAAAATAAATTTATTTCACATACTCTTTAATATTTTCATCCAAATCAAATGAGGGATTTTGAGAATCCCAAGATATTTTCACCTCTATTTCACATCCTTCCTATATTTTACCTTCATCCAAACAATTCATCGGGAAGTTTGTCTAACAAGCCAGTTTGAAGATCAATTAATTTTTTTAAATTCACCTTATAATTTTCATTAAAATTTCTTATTAGGTCAGCGAATAATAATAATTATTTTAGTTGTAATATTTTTATTCTATATCTGATCTTCAAGAGAGGGGTCATATCCTCCCTCTATTATTTATATTAATTTGAAGTTTTTAATGAAAATCTAATATATTATATTAAAAAACTCAACTTCCAATTTATTATTAAAAAACTCAACTTCCAATTTATTAAAAGAACTTTCATTCTTATAGTTTATTTTTCCTTTGTCTCTTCTTTTTCGACCTTTCTTCTTAATTAAAAAGTATGAACGTGTTTTACGAACCCTTAAATTTTAAAACTGTAAATAATTTTCATGTTTAGATCTAAGTTTTTCTCTTTTTTTTTTTTTTTTGAAAGTTAGAGTTAAGGTTAATTACTATCTTAAGGTTTGATCTAATTTATAAAACATAAAACGATATTTTTATTTTAAAAATCAAATAAATATAATTTTAGACTTTTATTTTTTTGGTATAATTAGGATGTGTAATCCCCTCGGGTGTGGAATGTAAAGATTTTTTACGCCCTCAACAAATTGCAATTTCGAGAAATTAAACTTATGTTATTAACCTTAAGGAGATTGAGGTCGTCTATTACTCCAATCAATACCTTATTCATAATTTAAACTTCTATTTTAACGAGCGGAAAATAATTAGTTTTTCTTTCAGTTTTTTTCCTCTTTTATTAAATCATAATTAACTTCACCACCACTCATTCTTATAAAAAGGTTTATTTTTCTTTTTGTCTCTTTTTTACCATTTAATATAAATGTAAGTCATCAAACTTTAAACTACAGATCTAATAAACTGAAAATAAAGTTATCATTTATGATAGTATTATTATTTTTTTGAAAGCAAGATAGTATTATTATTTAAACTTTAAACTGCAAATAAATTAATAAGTTCCAATAATATCATTCCGACAACAATTTTAGTTATTTTGTTGTAATTTTGAAATTTAAAAGATCATCCTAAAATATGAAATTTGTCTTGTCACTTGTCTCTGATAATGCAATCCCAATTATTTTATCATGAACTAATTACTTATGATGAACACATAGAATTTGAACATTAAATTTAATGAAGGAACATGCATCACTTCTAGACTCTAAAAAACCAAAGATCATCATGTAAATTCTCCACAAATTGCACATAAGTTCAAATAAAACAAAACAAATGCAAAAAACAAAATAAATACTCCACATAAAATGGAAAGGTCATAAACTCCACACAAGAAGAAGATAAATCACAAAAAATAGTAGAAACATAAATAATATAGATTTGTTCAAATAGACGTAGATCTGTAATTTATTTAATAAAAAATATAAAACTTACAATAAAACTAGAAATAAGAGAAATGGACTGTCACATAAAACGAGAATCAACTCATTCCCATATTTGTATATTTAATTTTTGTGTTTCACCGGAGAGGAGGGAAGAATGCTCTAAAGAAGAAAGTGAGAGAGA